TGTGGAGTGAAACAGTTGGTGCTGGGGACCCAGTGCTCACAATTTCAGGGTTTAACTTCACTTTAGCTCTTGTCTGGTCCTTATAAACTGAATGCACGATAGTGGCTGGAGTATGTTTCGCACAAATCTTGTTCGTGCACAGAGAACATGCAATTTGAATTAGGGGAAAGTAAGTGGGCAATGCATTCCTGAGCTGAGCTACTAACGTAGAGTCTTCTCCTGAAGCAACTTGTCTTCATCTGTGGACTGTAGAAGGGTCCATGGGAGAGTGGATGGCTAAGTAGGAGGCCTAAAATTGGTTACCTGAAATGAAAATACTCCTTCAAGCACATTCATTGTTTTCAACTGTTGTTCATTATTAATATCCTGAAATGCTTTGCTAACTCGAAACACGCTGAAATGCTTTCTAGTCTAGTACCCATCACTGTGACCTTGGTATGGATGGTTGACCTTTTCCTGAAAGCCTAACCATTACACAATTTTTTTAGTATTTTTTCTTTTCCTGAAGTGTGAGAATCCACAGAAGGGAAGAAACTTGAGAAAGTGTCAATTTTTCACACACTGCAGAAGTATCCATTCTGCCCTCTTTAAAAAAAACATCTAGCAGCTGCCATCACTACAGGGCTGGCCTGTGTCTGCTTTGTCAGAGATCAGATGTTGTACAATAGGTCTTTTTTTACCATAGATACACTGTACTGTGATGGATGATAGATACTGACTAAAATAGCACACATAGAAGAGACATCTCTAGGATAAGCACATAAGATTTATGAGCCCACAAGTGCCTATAAATTGCCTTAGCATCCTCAAAAATTACCTTTGCTGAGATGGAAATGACAAGGAGCAAATAGAAGGTAAGAGTGTTTGTAGAAAGTACCTTAAATGTAATATTCATGCTTATGAAAGTGTATATGTGTGCCTAAAATCTAATTGTGTAAGAAAGATGTGTATGTGTACGTATGTTAGGAGCCTAGGGATTAGTTGATTCTGGTGTGGGAAACTGCTGAGCCTCTCAAGCAGATGATTTACTACTGCCGGCTTTATTCTACATTGCTCTATGAGTTACTTACTCCAGGTTGCTTCATCTCCTCTGCCTCCGCTTCTATTGCCTAGAAAAAAGAACATTTATCTGCACTATCTGCTTCCGCAAATCACGTTTTTGTCTAATTTATGCAGGAAGTAAATTTGTTCTGTTTAGAAGATTTCTGTCCTCTCCAGCTAGTATCATCATACTCTGAGCTACTGCACTGTATTACAGTATGTGCTAAATTATTGCTTTTCCTGAGGTGAATAGCATCCATCATGACAACCACCTGGAAACAAAGAGCAGACACCTCTCAAAGACTGGAAAGGCAGCAATTCAGATACTTACTAGACTGGCAAGCTCATTTTCCCACAAGTGAACAGATTACGACTCACTAGTGATAGATGTAACAGATTTTTAATACACTGCCCTTAATTTTAACAACCTCCTAGGAGGGGCTCAGTGGGAGAGGACTTTTTATTTCAGGCCATAAAGTTGAAGTAGTTATGGTCCTGCAAGCAGAGTGTTTCAGCTCTTAGGTTGCATTTAAAAGTAATCAGCTTAAACTTTGAGCAGATTACAAGAACCATAAAAATTAGACAGACCAAATCACAGAATCACAGAATGGCAGGAGTAGGAAGGGACCTCTGGAGACCATCTAGTCCAACCGCCCTGCTAACGCAGGCTCACCTAGAGCAAGTCGCAAAGGATCACATCCAGGTGGATTTTGAATATCCCCAGAGTAGGAGACTCTACAGTCTCCCTGGGCAGCCTGTTCCAGTGCTCTGTCACCCTCAGAGTAAAGAATTTTTTCCTCATGTTCAGATATAAACTGTGAATAAGAACATAAATTTGATTCACTTGAAGCAGCCTGGTGCAGGATACAGAGAAAACACACGTTTATCAGATGTTAGAATGTGCTTGGGATTATGGACGGTGGCATGCAAAGATTCAAACTGTATTTATTAACAAACAGCTGCAGTCCCTTTATCAACAGAGATGCCACCACAAATACAAGACAGACCAGTTCTTCCACCATACAGTCTCTCTCCTGTACATCCATTCTAAGTTGCAAATGACAAAAAGCTTGTTCATTTCCCTGTGTACTCAAAACTGTCCTGTGAGGAGCCTGGCTCCCTGAATGTGATGTGGCATGTCATTGCGATGGCTAATACACAAGCTCCAAGTAGGACAGCCAAGGACAGACAAAAGGAGGAAGTCCGGTCTGCGACTTCCACAGCCTTGAGGTGAAGAAGAATGGCTTATGTGACCATTTCAGAGGCAAATCAATATGAATGGAAGTCCTGTTTCATCAGAACGCGAGGGGAAAACTGGAGAGACAGCAAATCACTAGAAATCCTTTCCATTCCCTTCAGCTATTCAAACAGAAACAGCAAGTTTCTTTCCTCCCTTTTCCCACTATCTCTTCTCAAATGCTCACAAACAGTTCTCAGCTTCCAGATGACTTCTGGGTAAGTAGCTTTTCCGGGTGACTAGATTTTAACACCATTTTATTTCTCTGTTCACACTTCCTCTCCTCGGGGGACGTCAGCAGCTTTTCACCGTTTGGGGGAAAGCAGTAGTTTTCTGAATGGGAAGCAGGGAAGAAACTTAAGAAGGAGAAACCCAATGAGGCTGGTACTCTCTACAGCAACTCCTTACTGGAGGGAGGAAAAGCATGAATCCAGCTGCTTTGCA